TATGAAACGCCGTATTTCTCCAACTACGAGCGTGTTTGCTTGACATGGGTTAATATTGACAACGGTTTGATGATACTTGGAAGAAATCGGATATGATGGAATGCAACAGCAACAAACAGGGGTATCCGATAACCAAAAAGTAAGAGATCATTCAATCTACTCAATACAAGTAAGTCGTTTTATACAGAACCCAAGAAGATGATCATATGTCACTGCGAAAAATTAAGCGTTTTCGATAGCACGCGGTCAAATGATTCCCATAAATCTGCTGTCTGGACACAATTGCAACCAATGTATTAATTTATGTTGAGAAACGGAAAAGTGAAACTGACTTGCGAAAAATGGTCAAAATCACGGAAGAATTGCCGAAAATTGAAAAAGCGCAAGAAAAACTTTCTCACATGCGCAGCCATCCGAAAAAAAGGAACAAAACGCAAAAAGGACATTTAATGAATTTTGATTGTTTCTATTTCTATATACCTACTTAGTTAGACAGTAATACTATACTGAGATACTATGCAGATAAAATATTTAGAATATTTTTCTAATGTTTTCCGGTTTTCTAATGGATAAATAAGCAGCTGCACAAAAATCTTCGAACAATTTGGAAGTTTCGTTTTTGTTTTTCTCTTTCAAGTCATATTCAATCTATACTGATAACGTACGAGTTTTGTCGGATCTATAGTACTATAGTGCTGGTGAGTTTTAGTTTTCTTCGAAAGGAAACTGTACGCCTCTTTTTCTCCTCTTTTTTTTATTAAAAAGTCTCTTTTTTTTCAAGAATGCTTGGCATCTTTTTTTCTCTTTTTTTTACAAAGTGTTGGTAAGATGCCAGATCTATTTGCAAATATTTTTTCACATGATAACTCTTATCTTTCTCTAAAAGATGACGTAATTTGATCAATAACTTCATATTAATTTGTTGTAGATACTATCGATTTATAGAGAGTGGTCGAAACTTTTGAACCACCCTTTAGAGAATTTTAACATTGAACAGAACCTATCTGAGCCTCTTTTGTCTCCTCAATCTAAGACGATTCGAGCTTACTCAAGCTTTTTTATATGCTTAATTTAGGATAATTCGAACCTGTCCAAGCCTTTATCTGTCCCAGTTTGAGCCTACCCAAGCCTACCCGACTCCAATCTAGGGTAGGCTCGAGCCTACCCAGGCCTCGTGGCTCCGCCGCCCATGGGTTCATCATAGGATATGTTCGAAATGTATTACTATCTATGAATTAATTTCGATTGTAGTAGTCTATGAGAGTCGAAAATGACTTTCAACAACTATCAACATTGAAATATATTATTATTTCATCCATCTTTTGGGAAAACATCACAGTAATTTTCATATATAGCATAATGCTATGTAAGAAGAAAGCAACCCAGTATGACACTATATACAATAGGTAAATGTGTAGTCGCAACTGTAACCACCAGTTATCAATTTACTGTTAGTTTCACCAACGAGATGTGGTAATCGGTATCGATGTGGGTCTTGGTATTCTTTTCTCAATTAATCATATTTACATCACCACTTCTAATCCTATCCTCATCAAAAATTCACACATGAGGACGTTTCCACCTTAGCGAATGTGCTCGATTCAGAATATTCAAAATGTGATCCTAGTACAGGAACATTTTGGTACTTCAGTACCTTAGACAATTTGAGTAATCTAGGAAGATCACTAATGTTCATTAGATAATGTGACAAATTGTACAATCCTCGATTTAAAGCTCAAAAGCTAAGGTAACTATTTCTATCCTATTTTTTATTAATTCTCTTTCAAGTTTTACTGATTTTTCTGCATCGATTCTAAAATGTTTCTATGTTTCTCACATCGTTTGCTTTGCTTTTTTTTATTTCATTGTAACTCTTTCTTCTTTTATTTCTACTTTGAATCTACAATTATTATAAGTCAAGACATTGATAAATATTGAAATTTAAATAAAAGATAAAGAATGTGTCGACGAACTACATTCTACATCTTAAATTGTCTAAAAACTCACACTAATTTACCATTCTGTTCTTGTTTAAGTACGACTCTGTCGACAGCTGAAAAGAATAGGTTGAGAAAGGTGGATTAACTTGTGCCATAGAGATTATAGATCAATTCATTTTATGATTAATCTCCTACCACGCTCAGATCTTTGCTGAAATATCAATTTGTTTGAGTTATATTGCTTGTCGCACAACAAATGTAATCACGATAATATCGTTATTAATTGGTAAAGACAAGATGCATTTCGCTGCTTACGAATTAGAGCAAATGAATTTCTCTGTATAGAATTTGTAAAAACTCTCTCGAAATTTCCTGAATTTTTTGACGGTGACTGAAAACAAGTGAAATATCGTAATTTCTAATGATTGCTTTAAGCGAACGTTCAATGATTTTGAAGCCTCATAACTTGTTCATAATTGGTAACATGATCTTAGAACATGGAATGTTTTTGTATATAAAGAATCGAGATTTTTTTCCAATATACAATGTCATAATACATATGCACGGAAGCAACAGCAAAATTGAAACAAAAAAAATAACTGTTCACAAATAAATCCGAAGAATCGAAATGAAATATGTTTCAAATATATTTGACAGAAGAATAGTGAGTCTGTTTCTATTTGTATTGTTGCTAGCATTGTGATACGATGAAATCTATAATAATTGTGGAAAAATAAATCATTCGAATTGAAAGAATTAAGGAATATCTACATATGTAAACAACAAAAATTGAGTCACTCATGTGAGAACATAAAAACTCGATGATATGTCTCAGGCTTGTTTTTCCCGATAGAACTAGTCATATCAGAAGAAATAGAGAATAATCGTGTAAGATTCATCGAGAAATGATAGAGAAATAATTACAAGATGGAAATCAACATAGTGTCAAATTTTCTTTTTCAGTTTTTCGTTCTTCGATGATTTTAGTGAATATCCATTCTATCTGAATACTTGAACAATGATGCAAAGGAATGAAACTATCCTGCCATATTTGGTGACTCATCTCAAACGAAAAACTCCTATCTATGGGTTTGAAGTGGAAGTTATGATGCACGAAATGGTATAGAGAGAGCCATACTTCCTGGACTTTTGATGCGCCGAAAGTACACACACTGATTATAATGCTTGATGAATATTATATAATATGCATAGGCATTATGACCTTCAGGATCTTCTGAGATAAAGATATGCAGCTACTATTTTAAACTCACTTCGATCGAATTCGAGGTGCTTTGCGATTTTTGTATATTCATTAGTTCTCTTCATGGATGTCCGCATGCGGATATGAGAATAAAGAATACCAACACCCATATCGAATAAGCCTCTGATGCATTCGAAAAAGTGAACAGTGACACAAATAGAATTCACTGATGTGCAATTTTCAAGAAAGTTTTACGTTCGTACTCCGTTGTCCTACGACTCAACGTTAATCACATTGGAATGACATCTAATGCAACACTAGAATAGATCTATCGAAACTAGCAATTTTTATGCATGAAGAAAATAATGATGAAAATTATTCAATATAAAAAATCGAAGAGCGTCTCGAATTGTATCGAACTAAGTTTAGAAAAGAAATCGTATACGTTTATCTTATAGCATGAGTGAGATCATAAGCCTTCGAGTACGATTTAATATTCTTCAAATAGTAGAATCAGTGTGAGAACCTTCGACATATCAGAATCTGAGTAAAATGTCACGTCCTATGCATCATTCGATGCGTCACAATGTTCTCGTGAAAAACACATAAGATTTATTCGTTCGACGTAGATCACTAAATCCGACGATATCCTTTCTCAGAGAATCGATAATTTCTAGAAATGACGGCTTAATGCTGTTAGAAAAAAGATCACCTTGAATTTTTCATTAATCTTCCAATTAATTATTAATGCATTTGTAGATGCCATAAACTACATGGCAGGCGATGAAAAAGATTATCAAAGTCAAGCCAGTCCAACTTGGTCCATCATTATCACTATCTGTTTCGGTAGAGCTGTCAATATTTGAAGGAGAATCCGGATCAAGGCAATTGCCATTAGGTGCACACTTTGAATTATCTGCAAATTGAAAAGAGGAACCTGCATATCAGGGAAAATTTCGATGACACTAAAATGTGTGATTTAACACTAAAGTAGACTCATGAATTGAATTGATCGTTTTCCTGTGACAAATTTCTCAAACATTCTATAGATTTCAATCTTGACCATTCGATTTAAAACAATTGTTTGATTTATAGAAAAGGCTAAGTGAATTTATTAAAAATGTCTCTTAGTCATCTTGCTGAGAACTTCACTTACATGCACAACATGTATCTTCGTTATTTGGTGATCTGCAGCATTTACCTTTAAAAAAATTCAATAAGACAAACAGAAAAATAGTAATATGGTGATTAATCTACCTGGAGCACCATGATATGCCTTTTCACAACTGATATTCTTTGAACAGCACAATAGACAGAGACGCACTGCTTCTTGTGAATGTTCTTGACACCAAACGCACATCAAAAAACCAACACAACAGAATAGAAAAAAATCCTTGATCATTTTTTGAATTACCACTTGCACTGCGTTGTGTGGAAGAGTATTGAAAAGAATGACTACATGAAAAAAGTTGTTTCTTGTAGCACACATTTTTGTTCGATGATTGGAACTCAAGAAGAACGAAAAAAATACTGTCAATATTCATTCTTCCTAAGTTCTGCAAAGAAAAGTGCCAAATAAAATAACGATGTTTATCTGCTTATTCACACATGCTATGTGACGACATGACATTGACGATCGAACGAAGAAAAATTATTAAATGATTAGAAGAAGAGAAGGACAGATGCATCTCTCGTGAATAGCAACATTTATATGGTATTAAATGGCGAGCAAAAAACACGCGAACATCTGTGCAACCAAACTCATATTAAATTTCAGTGAGAGTGGTTTCAGTTGAATAAGGTGAAAAACTATGGGTAATTTCATGGGACACGTAATACTATTATAATGATGATGTTGAAATCGCACGGAGTTGTTAGGGCTTGTGAATCTCGATAAGATAATTATTTTGGTGCTAGAATTAGGGGTGTCAATTTATATTTATTTCTAATTTAATTTATTTTAAATTTAAATTATTTGTACTAAATTTATAATTTATTAAAATAAATATTAACTTATTCTATTTCTTTTTTATATTTCACCCCAATCAGACAAACAAGTGGAAAAAGGCGTAAAAATGCGTCGCATTTTTAACGAAAATAAAATCTTAAAAAATACACATGCAAACACGTTCACAACATCTAGGATTTTTGATCGAATATATATTCATTCGGGAACTTTAACGCATTGTGAACATGTAAAAATGTATGCTTTTTTACAATTTTATTTTCGATAAAATTCGATGCATTTCGACGCATTTTTTTTTTCATTGTTTGTCTGATTGGGATGAAATATCAAAAAATAGAAATTATGTATAAATAATTAAAATTTAGAATTGATTACATTATGTATCATTAAAATTTATTTTTAATTAACAGGAAAATAACACCCCTGGCTAGAATATTAATGATAAGTCAGTATTTCGGAATAGAAAACTTCAAGGTGCTGTTTCAGAAATTTTGAGAAAAATGGCAAAAAATGAGCGATTTTTTTCATTGTGAAGGCTTATCATACCTTATTATTGAGCCGCAGTATAGAACCTTATACAAATTCGGATAGGTTGCATTTTGCTCTATCAGATAACATAAAAACCATACTGCTTTCAATCGTAACATAGTTTATTATAGGATTTACAATGGAGTATGCATGAGTTTTTATAAGATACAGAAATTAAGCATCGTACGATGACCATTCTGAATCTTGCTTAAGGGTTCATCATGGGATATATTCGAAATGTATTACTAGGTACCAATCTATTTCAATTCTACAAACCTCTGAGAGTCGAAACTAGATCTGGATACATCAGAGACTTTCCAAGTCACAAGTCAAGTCAAGCCAAATCCCAAAGTTTCTTGACCCAGTCAAGTCAACCTTGACTTGACCTGACTTGCCCAATTCTGGTCAAAAACCACGTGAAAATTTAAGCAAAAAAGCCAGCTGAAGATAGTTTATATTTCTTGTTGAAAAGCGCTGGAACGTGCATATCTTAAAAATACTTCTAAGCGATGCATTTCAACGAAATAACATTCCTAAATGATCTGCTACATTGGTCAGCATAGTGTTCTCATATGTAGAAAATTGCAATAAGAGCATAATTCCGAAGAGATTCTGACTCTTTTCTATAGTTATTCGAGAACTTCGCTTTTTGCCGAACTTCTTCGAAAGCTGCTCGGTAAAAAGTCACTATTTCGAATAAATATGGAAAAAAGTCGGAATTTTTTGTAAGTTATACTATTCTTATGATATTCTACATATGGGAACACTATGCTGGCCAATGTAGCAGACCATCAGGGGATATTATTTCGTAAGCAATATAAAGTTTGTTTACGACTTATTTTCTGTAGAAGACTGTTTCGAAGACAATTAATTGGTTGAAAATACTTCACTTTAATGTTAAAATATTTTTGATGATAGTAAGTTTTGTTCTCAACACTTCCTGTACAAGCTAATGTAAATCGACGAGTCTGAAGACATATTCGTGAAGTTTGATAAACAGTAAAAAGTGGGAATATAAACTTACATTTGTTTGTACAGTATATATATATCCGATAATCGAACTTACGAGTCAAAAGTATTCTAATGTTATTATTGAATCATCTTCAGCCAATTAGTCAATTTCGATTCGACCCTAGAACGGCTCTCTGTTTACTAACTACTAAGAAACTATCGAAATTCAATACGTTCTTCACGGTATGACTTTGATGAAAGTTGTAAGTACTCCTACAGAATATGTACCATCCTCATCCACGCAGTGATTCACCTGTGCGTTCCAACATCCATGGGGATAAGGACCTTGTATGTCGTGTAGAAGTACCAAGTTATGAAAGATTACATGATTAAAAAGTGAGAAAGAATAAATTGCGACTATTATATATTAGTGTTTAATATTGTTAAAAGAGAAAAACAAGCTTACCAATAATACAACACAAAAAGTGGCTACACGTTTGAAGCACTTGGTACACAAAAATAACTTGTTTGTATCGAACAAGAATAATTGAAGCGTAACTACTTTTTCGTTCTCTTTATTAAATCATTTTTCTATTTATAAAGAAATATACCTGCATATTGGGCATTAGATAATATTGTCGACGAATCACATACATAGAAACGTTTTTTCTCGATGATTCAAAGGGCAGTTGTACAATATATTCGAAATAACATTTTCCACTTAGACAAGCGAAAAAAAGTATAAATTCATTACAGAGAAATTCAAATAAAAAAATCATGTTTTTGTAAGTTTTTTCATCTGATCTCTGTTGACAAATTTGTTTTTCAGTTTTCATGAGTCGTGATCTCTTTAGAATCATGCAACTTATCGAATATCCTAGTTCTGAATAATATTGATTATTATCGCATTGTCATCCTGAGAAAATATTTCAAGGCGACAAAAAGTGATTTAAATGATATAGTCGTTTATATACATGTTCACATGTATTTTTCGTTTTTCTTCTCAGTTTTCTTATATTAGTTTTATTATTTCAGTTAACTATCCTGTTCGTTTCCGTGATTCGTCCAATCAATCACATATTGATTATATGACAATGTCATTTTTCTCTTGCTCTCATATCAATTACCAATTATGTCTTCGTATCGTTTTCATTTCTATTCGCTGCCTAATTTGATATATTTTTTTTTGAACTTTATTGCATTTTTCCTTCATATAGTCTATTAAGAGGTGATATAGTTGATAAGTCAGTACTCTCATGCGAATGACTGGATATAGATCATTCTTTAAATTTTAGTACTTTCATTGAAACTCTTGACTTTGATTAGGCAACTTAGTTATATTTGAAATGAGAGATCATTATCATTAAACTCTGTTTTGTGTCTTTCTTTTTGCTGTCTGGAGCCATATACAATTGTCTTTTTTTTCAGTTTTTCTGTTTATGTCAGCGGAGATAAGGACGAAGCTAACAGCCTTAGTTAGATTTTATTAATAAGTTTTTATTATCTATACGATGTTTTATAAGTTTCTAATCTGTTTCAATTCTTTATATTTTTCCAGTATATGAAGTTGAACAGAGATTGAGGATATATATTTGAATAATAATATCTATATATTATTATCCAAAATTTCTTCAACTCAACTACCGTTGTTCATAAAAAAGTACTTTATTAAAAATTATCTTACAATAATTTCATCAGATCATTTTGTTTTAATTTTTTTTATTATATATTTTTTATCATAAGTATATAAAAACCGATAATCGAACAATTATAGAGATAGTTTCCGAAATATAATTCTTGGTGTGTGTAAAGAAAAAATGATTTTCCATTCATAAAAATGTTTAACACGAATTCATGCAGTAAAATATAAGAAATTTATTAAACATTATTATATTAAAATAAAATATAGAAAAAGAAAAAAAAGATATCGTTATAAAATCTATTCGATAGATGACTCAAGTTATCGAGAAAAATTATAAACAAAAAAAACTTATTAGATTAGTATAGTTAACCAATGAATAACTAAATTGAATATCATCATCATCATCATCATCATCATAAATAAAAAATATCTTCGTCATTGAAATTTTACTCACATATCAAAAATAATGGGAAGTGAGGAATTAAAATTTTTGCATAATTTTCACAAAGATTTCATCCATGATACTGCATTCAATTTCTATGGTACACGAATGGCTACTTGTTCAAGTGATGGATATGTTCGAGTTAGTTTTTTTTCTCGTTTTTCCACATAAATAATCTTTTTTTTACTTTATCAATTAAATTAGATATATGATCTACATGATGATACATGGCAACAATCTGGTTCTTTTTCGGTAAGAAACGTATGAGAGAAATTTATTTATTCATATTTTTTTACAGCTTCCTTTACAAACCGGTCCTATGATACGGTAAATTAATAAATAAGATTTTCAAATATGTAGATTTTTTTCGATATATAGGGTAACTTGGGCTCATCCAGAATTTGGTGGTATTCTTGCAACTGTAGCTTATGATCGTTTTGTTAATGTTTGGTATGAAGTAAGTTTTCTTTTATCCTACTAATTTTTATTTTACAATCTTCTCCAGTATAGACTCCAACAGGACCTAATGATCCATCGGAATATGCTACTAAATGGGTAAACAGAGGTAGGAACATTTTTTTTAATTATAAACTTATTTCTTCAACATTTTTATATAAAAGAGCAATTTCTCGATTCATTTCTATTTGGTTCTTCTGAACAACGATCATCAAGTACAGATACTGGTACACATTCATCAGCTTATAATACAGTAGCTATACAATTTGCTCCAAAACATCTTGGTCTTATACTTGTTTGTTATAATCATATTTTATTTTATAAATTATAAATTGTTTTGTTTTTTCTAGGCAACAGTTTTTTTTGATGGTCGGATACGTATTTATGATTTTCAAGGACCAAATGTAGTTAATAAAGAAGAAATACAAACGAAGATGTCTAATTTAAGTTGTATTTCATGGAGTACAGCTAGGTATAGAAAATTCTTCTTCGTCTTATTTTTTTGTTTGTTTTGAGATGAAAAAATTATTGAAATTTATTTAGACATCATTTAGCTCCATTAATTGCTGTTGGAAGTGATGATTGTAATACAGGTACTGGTGCTAAATTACAATTATGGGAACATGCACCTGATAGGTAAATTAAAATTTTGATTTAATGATAATTTTTTATATCTCTTTGTTTTTTTTAGAAAAGCGGTTAAAGTTGATTTAACTAGTGTGAATATGTTATTACAAAATGGAATTAAAGATATTCAATTTGCACCAAATTTTGGTCAATCTTATCATTTACTTGCTGTAGCTTCAAATGATATTGATTTGTTTACTATAAAACCAGCAAAGTAAATATAGTGTGTACATCAAAAGTCTCACATCACTTTGTTTTGAATCATGTATGTAAACTATACAAGATTAATTAAATCAAAATAAAAAAGTGTTGTGAGATTATTGATATGCACTGTACTATTTGTTTTGTTTTGTAAATATTATTCTTGTTATGTAGAGGAGAATTGAATAATAGTAGTGAAAATAAAGCACAAACATATGATGTTATCAGAATTATTACATTAGATGATCATGGTTCAACGGTAATAATAGATTTTTTTTTTCTAATCATATATTTTAAATATAACAAATTTTGTTTTTTGAATATAGGTATGGAAAGTTTGTTGGAATGTATTTGGCTCAGTACTTTATAGTTGTGGTGATGATGGAAGAATTCGAATGTGGAAAGGTTTAATATTAAATAAAAGAAAATTTAATTATATTGAATATTTTAGGTACGATTAATGGTCCATGGAAATGTGAAAGTAATATAAGTCTTCAAGCAGGAACTCTTGAAAAAGCAAAATCTGATGCAAGTCAATCAGCAGAACCAGTAAATTTAGAGCAAAATAAATAAAATGAAGAAAAATTTTAAATATAAAATCTTTATTTTAGGTATCAACATAAAAAATAATTCTAATCGATTGGTGTCAGATTAATATTATTTTTCTTTTTGTATATGAAATTCGTTGTATTAGATTAAATTAAAAAAATAACACAGAAGATTGAATACTTATGAATAAAATCAATTTTTCTTTTCTTTACTTTATGTACTTCATCAGAAGCCCTTTTTTTTTTTACTTCAAAACAAATGTATTTTTAGTAGCTATAGAACATAATCATCATATGAAACATTCCTTCTTACGTTCTAAAAGAATGGTATCAACATATTCTTTGTTATATATATATCTCATTATAAGATAATAAGAAAGTAACAAGTTCAGTAAATTTATTTTATTATATCATATATTGAAAATGTTTATTTCAAATACGTGGAGTTTTACCATGGAAATTTGTTGACATAAGTTTATTATCATTATCTGTAGAAATACTTCTGCTAGTAGTTATACGAGAACTACGACGAGATAGACGATCATTATTATTTGGTGACATTGGTGTAGAATATCGTGAAGAAGGACGCCATGTTTCTATTATATTTGATGTTAAATTTTTCTGTGGAGTTCGATCATATCGAACCATTGATGTTCGATCATTTGTAGTTGATGTTGATAAACGTTTAATTGGTGAAAGAATTCGAACTGGTGATGTTGCTCGTTCACATGTATCATTATTATCAATAATTAATTTTGATTGTTGATGTTGCCAAAATTTATATGGCCAATAAAGACTGAAAAAAATGCAAAATTGATCGAACGAAAAAAAAAATAATAATATTTTGTAAATTTTACTTATTTAAATTTGATGATGTTAAAGATTGATCATAACTAGACATATCAGATATAAATGAATTTTCATGATTTTGCATATCTTGCATAGTTCGACTCATTAATTCCATTGCTAAACGTTTTTCTATACAAATTTAAAATATAAGAAAGAAATCTATGAAATTTTTCTACAAACCAGTTAGATTAGCATTAACAAGCCAATCTTGTGCTTCATTAATATTATCAACATGTAATATATGACAAAGAATTGGAAGTAACTTAAAAAATTAAATTTTAAAATTAAAGAAAAAAATAAATTATTCTATTGAAATTACCCATATACCAGAATCTTGATTTTCATTATTAATTGATGATTCTCGTTCATTATTATCAATAGGTATTTTTGATTTTGTTACAGGTGAAAGTTGATAACGTCGATTTAATAATCGTTTAGATATATTTTGTTCATAATTTTCGTTCAAACGAGAATTTGGCTTAGAACTAGTAGGTCTTCTTGAACGATGTTGAATTGAACGAGCTGACCGAGATTGATGTGATTCATTAAGTACTAATGATGATTGAACTTGTCGAGCTAATCCCATCAATTCTTGACGCCAATCATGCATTGTATTATCTATATAGAGTCTTTGATAAATTTTGAATATTAATAAAAACTAAATCTTAGATTACTATAACAATTGTTTTTAAAAGGTTAATTTATAATAATAATAATAATTTAATTCGATTTATTCATCAATAAGTTTGAAATACGTGATTAACAAGGATATTTCTGTGATATTATCAAGAAACAATACATTTAATTTTATCTGATAAGTAATATGTATTATTTTGAATCAATAGAAAACAAAAAAACAAATCCTTTTCTTTTATTTCTTTATAGTTAAAAATAAAACTTTTTGAAACATCTGACATTGGTATGAGATAAACTTATGTTAAAATCGATAAAATTCAAGTATGTTTTCTTTTCATTTTTAACACATCAATACATGACCTTGTAGTTTCGATTATATTAAAGTTATAAATAACTGAGGAGAGTTTTTTTTTCGCTCATTTCTATTTGGCATGCACCTACTGTCTCAACTTACATAAACCAAAACGATTTGTTCTTTTTAATGCATTCTCATTTGCTGATGGACTAATATAAACTGAATCTTCAACATAAGGAATATATCCATCTCTAATATCTATTGAAAATATAAAGAATAAATTAGAAATAAAAAAAAAAATATTTATTGAATACTATGAATATATTTCAAACTTCGTGGACAAGCAATATGACGAGCAGGACGTAATTGTCGTCCATCATTCAATACTTTTTCATTTGAATAAGTAGAACCATAAACTAAATAACCTGATGTATAAAATGACTTCTATTTTTCATTATACTCACAAGCCATTGATAAAATGAATAGAACGTATGATCTATTTAAAAATCAAAGTAAAGTAGACACAACAGTGATTCGAATTGAAAAACAATATATAATTCTATGAGACAGAATAGATTCTTTTTTTTTACTCTTCTTATTATGAAAAGAAATAATTGATTTCTTCTTTCATGCCAACCAATGAAATAAGAAAAATATAACATTGTTTTTTATATTCTAACTACCAAACAATCGATAAAACAAAATCAACATGAATGATACAGAATTTGAAAACTTTCTTTTTCTTTTTTTTTTTGAAATTATCGACTCAATTTTATTCTCAGCATGATATAAAAATATTCATATAATGAAAAAACAAGAAATATGATCGATGTTATTCTAATATGACTGACAATAACAATAGCAAACGACGTATTTTTATACGTGAACATGTATATAAACGAGATAATCATTTAGATCAAATTGAATTTGAATTTATTGATGATTTAGAATCAGAATCATCTATTAAACGAAATTATAGTTTATGGTTAACACGAGATCATTATACGAAAGCAATTTTACGACAATATGGTTATAGTACAAATAAAATGCCAACATTTGAAGAATATATTGATGCTGTACGACCATTAATTGCTGGACATTGTTGTTCAGAACATGATCTGCGTCGAGCATTTAATATATTTGATCAACATCAAAATGGAATTATTGAATTACATGAATTTTATCGTTTCATAAGTATTATTGGAAGATCAACAACAGAAGAAAAAATCTTAAATTTTATTGAACGTGTAAATATATCCAATGATAAAAATTTGAATTATGAACAATTCAAACAATTTGTTAGGCTTGGACATGGAAGAGAAATGCTTGTTAATGTTAGCTTGGAAGAATAATGAGTTCTTTTTTTTTTGTATAAAAATTTTATAATTATAGTATATACATATATTTTTAAAGACTTTGACAACGCATATGTATTTCATAACATTATCTGTTCTTTTAATTTTAATATGTCATCGAAAGTGGAAATTCTCTCTCCAAAAATCATAAACTTAATATCGTTATACAAATCTTGAGTATTCGAAATAGATCAAAAGGAGCACTTTCTAAGAAACAATGAGTGCTAGTCTTTCACTTGCTTGTGATATGGATATTTATCTTGTCGACTTTAAAGGAATTTATATGTAGCATGGAAAAGAGCTCAGTTCGAAATCGATTAATTCCTGAATGAGGCAAATACCACCTGTGTCACAATGAGAACACCATTCGCTTATTTTCGGAATTTCTAAAGAACGATTCATAAGAAATATTTGAAATTTTCAAGGTAGGTGGATCTCGATGAACAAAGGAAAAGTTGCCATAGATTGCAAATTCAAAAATATTTCCATCTACGGAATATCTGGATCATTAAGGCGAAAAATCGCCTTGCTTTCTCAGTCGTAATATGTCCGATAGAGCTGGAATTTTGTTTGAACTCTTTTTGGTCAAATCAATAGTGCGATATTTTTCAAAAGAAAAGTAATTAGGCACCTTCCAACAGTGTCCAATATCTATAAAACAAGTTTGCACCCGATCGAATGTACTATGTCGGAGAAATGGAGGTGATTCTGTCCCTTTTTTTTGTGTGTAAAAATTGGTTTCGAGAAAAATGAAAAACAAATTTTCCTATATGTATCAAGACTTTTTTTCTCCAATTAAAGTGGTCGAAAACTGGTCATGCTCTCAGCATCTTTGAAACGAGAAATAATCCTCATTTTGCATACAAAGAATAATCGTAGTGTGAGTTTTTCTGGTAGGGATTTCAAGAGTTGTGTTTAATAAAAGTACTAACCAACACCTAAGAGTTCTCATTTTTATGGTATTTGACAGAGGACATTTCGACGCTATACTAGCAATGAAAAACCAAAAATTGCAAAAATCTGGAAAGACGGGAGTCTGTTTAAGAAAATCTACAGACTTATGTTTTTATCTACAGGATTGGAGTGAGGAAAGGAAGGTCAATGGCTCAGGCATTACATGTTCTTCCAGGATTTCCTCGGAAACTCAATTAAGTACTAGCATAGATGATATAGAAATATGGAGTGTGTATTGTCGCGTCTTCTATATCTCCTGCGCTAGTACCTAATTGAATTTTCTGGGATATTTGTAAAAAACATCGTATGGACTTAGGTGACTGATTAGAAGATTATTACTGAAGTTCATCTATCAATGTGTCATTAGAATTTGCTTCAATCATATTCAAGTGACATCTATAATGATGCAATTTTATTTGTTTTGAATAATATTAAAAGTATTGAGGATGATGATCGAAAGATACAGCTCACACAAATTGACCGTGAGAGTTTTTCACAATGTGGACGTTATTAACAGGTCTTTATCAATATTTAACTCAAAAAGATGATTATTATATACTTATTGTTGGTCTTGATAATGCTGGTAAGACAACATATCTTGAACAAACAAAAACAAAATATTGTCCTAATTATAAAATGATGAATCCATCAAAAATAACAACAACTGTTGGTTGTAATGTTGGTACAATTGATATAGGAAATATTCGTCTAAATTTTTGGGATTTAGGTGGACAAGAAGAATTACAATCATTATGGGATAAATATTATGCTGATTGTCATGGTATTATTTATATAATTGATAGTGCTGATCGACAACGTTTAGAAGAATCATGGTTAACATTTGATAAAATGATACAATCAGAACAATTAACAAATGTACCATTATTAGTTTCATGTAATAAACAAGATCTTGAACAATGTATGACAGTACCAGAAATAAAACGTACGTTTAATCGTTCAACAGCAAAAATTGGTGTTCGAGATTGTATGGTTTTAGCTTGTTCAGCTTTATCAGGTGATGGAATAAATGAATCAATTAATTGGATGAAAGATTGTATTGTAAGAAATTCAACAATACGACCACCGAAACGTCAAGATATTGCATAAGAAAAAAAAACTATTTATTTTTTTTTTTTTGTTGTTGTTGTTTTTATTTTATTAATATATTTAATGAATCTCTCATTTTAATGATTGAGCAATATTTGCAAACATAACAGTACTTTATCTTATGCTATTTTTTGCATATGAATTGTTCTTATGTATTTATTATTTTCTTATCATCAAAAAATAGTTTGTAAAAACAATAACAACAACGAATACTTGTGCAAGAAATAGATTCGATTTTTTTTTCTCTCTCTTTTCTTCATATTCGCTTTCGAAATGTGTTTTGGCAAATTGTTTTCGTATTTCAAATACTAAAAATAAATAATAAAATTAAAAGGCATAATTATCATTGAATCGTTTGCATGTTACCACACAATTTAACCTCATCATAACAATAGTGACACAAGAAAAAAAAAAACAAAATAAATAGAAAACAAAACGAAGAAATAATTGTACATGATTGAAGGTGAATATAAAATAAGACGATAACGTAGATTAATATGTACACCATAACAAGGTTATTCAAACAACGTGAACACCTAATGTGTATAGGTAGAAAACAGTATACACAAGTATACGTTTTGTATAGGCGTTGTTAACGATCCATGACATTTCAATAAATTGCTTACAATACGGTTGCATCTTAAAAATATGTTTACTTAAGTTAGTTTTTTTCTTTTTGTACTTATTTAAATAGAGTAATATAATCTGATTCGTAGTTTTCTTCTAGATTTCGATTTCATGTTATTATTTTAATAAAAATGCCTATGACGAATAGTGTCGATAAATAAAAGCATAAAATATGAGTCGTTTAATTCGTCATTAGGGGTTATCTATAAAGGACATTCAGATTAATACTTCGAGGATAGAATTTCTTTTTTAATCAAAAAGTAGTTCTTCAAGCATTTTATTTTATTTAGCTGAAAATAAATAAACAGAAATTTTATGATAATCAAGGAAAAAAGACAATTTTTCTTCTGTTTTGAATATTAGAAATTCTAATTTCGTCTAAATTATCTGTTTTATTTCTCTCTGAGTGAAAAAGACAGTTACAATCGCTTTTCGATTGCACAAGATATTCTCTTTCTTCTTTCCAATAATTTATTAATTCAAATTTTTTTCTGATCAGAGGTAAATCAACATATGTTAACATGATTCGATGTTACTAGGTGTTAATAGAAAAAAAACCCGACGAAATGTTACACCAAGCACTGTTGCTGTCGTCTAATATTGTATTTTTTTCTTATTATTATCCAAGATTAGTCCATCTCCTTATTTATGTCTCATGATTGTTTGTCGGTAAGCTATACATATAATATCATTTTTTTCTAGTTCTCTACATGAGTGGTAGAAAATATATTGCAGAGGTTGTTATTGCTCATGGAATCAGAGGTAAGTTTCCACTGCTAATATTACAGATGCTCACTCTTAGAAAAATTCGCTTGGGTGGACTATAGATCGCCCAGTAGGAAACTGCGGGTCCTTCCAATCCCGAGCCCAAAGTTTTATTGTTTTTGTCGGGTCCAGATCTAACCCTTTATTTTTTGTCTGGTCTGGTTACACATTTTCGTGGATCCGCTGCTTCCTAGATGAGAAACGCAGCAACAAGATATAACTGTATATTGAAGTTTTCTTTTGCGAGTAGCGGATAAATAGCTAAAATCTTGATCCTTTACTTGTTCATGTACACGAAAGGTGCCAGGCATTGATGAAAAAATCTCGGGTTTGGACCCAATCGAGTCCGAGTCCACAAAAACGTGGACCCGCAGTTCTCTACCGCTCAGTGCTGAGAAGTTCCCATTACGGAGAGGTGTTCATATAGAGAGATTTTACTGTATATGAGAGAACGAAAGAAAAGATAAGTATGCGATGACAAATGGGGTCACTTATGTCCTATATAGTTCTGTAGATCTAACACTTTAATTCAAACAAAACACTTTTTCTCTATCGGAAAACATATGTGAATCAGTTAAATATAAATATAGTACTGAAATACTTCAGTGTTATGTTACTTGAACAATTAGTTATTTTGTCGAATAGTAATATGAACATTGTTATATTTTCTAATCCCATTAGTATTGAACTTCGTTTTTTATGTTTACTATTTTGTGCTCATTAAAATTGAATGTATTTAAAAAAGAAAAACTTTGTAAATGATTATATTTTTATTTGTTATTGATGAAATGTGTTTTCATTTCTATTTTTAATATATTTATTTAATGAACTGTTACTTAATAAAGAAGCAGTATATTTGAACAAGTAGGTTTTTTTCTGAAAGTTTTTTTTTTTTAATACTGGACGTCTAGGAGAGGATCGATGATATCGAACAAGTCTGAACAGAGGGAGAAAAGTCAAAAAATGCGATTTTTATCTAAACATTCTTTATGGATGACCTCTTATATATATCGTAGTACTCTTTATATATTTATTGTTTGGTGTTTTGTATTTTTTATCTTCTTACAATCAAATGATTTCACAAGAAATTCTATCGATACACAATCATCTATTAAAGATGAACGTGAAGAAGTTAACATTAATTCATATGGTATGAATAATTTTGTAAGAAAATTATTTAAAAAGTCAAAAAATAAACAAGACCAAGTAATAGCACCAAATATTGATGATAAAAAAATTGATCTAAATAGATCAGGTGAAATGGGTAATAAAGTTGAAATTGATAAAAATAAATTATCACCAAATGAACTTAAAAAATATGAAGAAGGCTTTGAAAAACATGCCTTTAATACATATATTAGTGATTTAATATCATATCATCGTAGTTTACCTGATGTACGTGAGCCGGATTGTCAAAAAATTGACTATAAATCAATATTAATAACAGCAAGTATTGTTATGTGTTTTCATAATGAAGCATGGTCAGTATTATTAAGATCAATACATTCGATTATTAATCGTAGTCCTTCACATTTATTAAAAGAAATTATCCTTGTCGATGATTTTTCTGATATGGGTAAGAAAGTCTTTCTTTTCTCTCGTGTATTTGAAACGAAGAATTTATTTTTTTTTTCAAAATAGATCATTTAAAGAAACCATTGGATAAATATATAAAACATCTTAAAATAGTTTCAATAGTTCGACAAAAAAAACGTGAAGGTTTAATACGTTCACGTTTGACAGGTGCTGCTCTTGTTAAAGGTGATGTCATTATTTTTCTTGATTCACATATTGAAGTTACAGAAGGTTGGCTTGAACCATTACTTGATCCAATATCACAAAATCGTACAACTGTTGTAACACCTATTATTGAAACTATTGATGATATAACATTTCAATATAATTCTATTCCTATTAGTATAATAAGTACTGGTGGTTTTGATTGGAACTTACAATTTAATTGGCATACTATATCTGATCGAGAAAAACAAAGAAGAAAACATAATTTAGAACCAATAAGAACACCAACTATGGCTGGAGGACTTTTTGCTATTAGTAAAAGTTATTTCTATGATTTGGGAACTTGTAAGTTCGATGAGATAAAATTATACTTTTAAGTTTAGATCTAACACAGAAACTACTCGAGATGATATCTCGCGTTTGAAATAGAATCCCAGTCATTATATAGGGCTTGTTGAGACTAGTTTGAAGTTATGACCGGTACACTGAATTTTTTTGAGGAGATTCTAATAACTTCAAGGATTATCTATGGATAAAGTTTTAGGCTAAAATTCGTTTGTTCAGGTTTTTTTTAATAAATACCATACCAAATGTAAAAATATCCAAACTAGTCTCAGCAAGTCCTACGTAATGATTGGTACTCATACTGTTTATGAAACTCATTTAAATCGCTTAAAGTGTATATCATAGAAATGTGAGTTTTGTAGCAGATTAATCTGTTGCATTTTCGAACTTCAGATCTTGCTAGAAACCAGGCAGAAGTCTTATTAAAACCAATTATTTAACAGTTTTCTACAGAATTCGACTTCAATATATTCATTTGTATATTAATAATCCAACATTTACATTGTACGAAAGTTTCTAGGGAATAATCCAGTCAAACGCGAAAGCTTATAAAATGCGTCTATATATTTGAATTGTTATGGTATGACGTGCGTGAGAACACGTTGTAAACTCACACCTATGCATGCAAGACAATTTTAGAATAACCACAAAAACGAAGCACATGTAGTAAATGTACAGTAACATCCAGGAAGTTTTTTCCAGGGAAAAAATTCGAACATATATACTTTACTTAATAAGATGAACTTCTTTACCATTCAACTATGTACTTACATTAGAAGTGCAACCAAAACTGAATGATATAATAATCATCTGATAACTACTGAGCACTTATGAACATAAATACTAATAATTTATAGGCGAAGATTGAATAAGATTTTCGAGCCAATATAGTGTGGATATATGAGAACGATTTCATTTTAATGAGAAATAAATAAATACATTCGGAAATTCTTACATAGAGCATCGTACACACTACAAAATGACAGAAATTTGCATGTCAACGCAAAATCACTTTGATAATAGTTTTCGTAGTCATCTTGCAGGCACATACCAATAACATTTCGACATTTACATGCGAGTCATATATCTTGCATAAATACGGAAGAAATTTGCAAAGATAAGAGTTATGTACGATCTCGCATGTTCTTTGCTTAAAAATTCAGTTATATGCTGTTGTCTTACATTAATACACAACAATTGTAAATATTTGAAATAGCTTGCTTCTTTATGAATGATATATGACGATTTGAAAAAAATTTTGAAAATAAATGCGAGTTTCTGAAAACTGCTTGCAAATACAAGCGTTGTTTATACTTTCACGTTTGACTGAGAAGTATGAGAATTTTAAATAACTAAAGATGACTATAAGGTTTTGACCGCAGAACGGGATATGTGTAGTGAAAGACTTCCTCTACAATTCGACATACATCTCATAATGAAGTCAAAAATTACTACAAAACTTATGGTCGCCTTTGTTTTGATGTGTACACAACTCATGTGTTATCATCATTTGTTAATGAATTTTCCTTAGAAAATATCCTTCTATGAAAAGTCTTCAAAAGGTTCGATAACTGTCGGTTAACCTCGATTCATCTGCTTAACTTTTTTTGTATCTGAGTGCATGAATCTTTTTAAATTCTTAAAAAATGTTAGATTTCAGTCGAAATCACATCTCTTTATTATTGGGAGCATAATCAGATTGTCTGTACCAACCACATCGGTTCTTGTCGCTTAGTTTTCGAGTTCGATTATTTTTTTGTTGTTAAGCGTTTTTTGTCTAGAAAATGACGTCATCGAAGACTGAAAAATCTGTTTCTATGTATTCTTATTAAATAATAACTGTTTTGCAGAAAATTTATTATCTATTGTTTTAATTACAGATGATGCTGGTATGGATATTTGGGGTGGTGAAAATTTAGAACTATCTTTTCGTATATGGATGTGTGGTGGTAAGTATGATGATATTTATTGATTTTTTTGTTAATTGTTATATGTAGGTACTCTGATAATTTCTCCTTGTTCTCATGTTGGTCATATATTTCGTACACGATCTCCTTATAAATGGTTATCTGACGTAGATGTAATCCGTAAGAATACTGTTCGAGTCGCTGAAGTTTGGCTTGATGAATATAAAGTATTAAAGAAAAATAAATTAATTCTTTTTAAGAATAATATTATTTAATTTTAATTTAGGAATATTTTTATCAAAGATTAAATTATAATTTAGTATGATTTTAATTTATTCGATATAATAGAATATTAACAATTAATTGTTGTTTTTTAGGGTGATTATGGTGATGTTACATCACGTAAATTACTTCGAAAAAAATTACAATGTAAATCATTTAAGTGGTATTTAACTGAGATCTATCCCGAACTATCTATGCCAGAAAAAGGAATAGCAATCGGTGAGGTATGCAGACTTATTTTCTTTCGATCAGATATAATTCAATAAATAAAAATTGTTTAGATTCGAAATTTTGATGACGATTACTGTGTTGATGCAAATACTGAGTCTGCAAATTTCAATAGATCAGTAATTTCTTTTCCATGTCATAATCAAGGTGGTAATCAGGTACATATATATGAAAATTTTTTGTTTATAATCAAAGAGTTCGGTTGTTTTTGTTTGATATAGTTTTTTATGTTAAGCAAAATGGGTGAAATTCGTCGAGATCATGGATGTTTAGGTTATCAAGGTGGAATGGAAGACGTTAATAAAAATGATAAGGTTATTGTTATGAAATGTGATGGTCAGAAAGGAACTCAATATTGGATTTATGATGAGGTTTGTTTTATATTCAAATTCCTTTTTCTCTCTCTGCCTGTCGAAAATTTGAACTTAGAACATTAGTTTTTTCAGTGAACAGAAAAGAGATTATAAGGTGGTAAATCGACCTATAGGACCTTTTTTCATTGGAGTCTTTACTAGCTTATATCAAATGAAAAATTACCTTGAGATAAGAATCATTCATGATGAAACTTGTAATTTTACAACAGATAAATAAAAAGTTTGAATACGGTTAAAATATGGTGTTTTTTTGGGCTTGAATTACGTTCATGATCAACCTGATATGATACTCGTATTCATATAAAGAAAACAATATCTTTTTACCTATAACTAGAAGGTCATATGGTCCTCTAACACTGCTATAAATACCAAACTCTTTGTCCTTATAAACGAAATACGACTCTCGAAAACCCATCTCTAGACTACTATCAGAATCACATTTGGTGCAGATCTTCGATATTTTCAACAGCAAGAGCAAACATCACCATTCTTTTTTACTATTAAGAGCTCTTTAGATTAGTTAAAAAATCTATAAATGAAACTTGAAATATAGATGGGGAGAAGACACCTCAAAGAGACATAGACTGCCATTGAAGTGTTGATTTTAGTTAGAAACCAATAGTATTTCGAGTATTAGTCGTCTAATGATGTTCAGAATAGAAAACAACTTAACACTAGAATCGTACTCAGCATAAAATACTGAATCAACTTATGTATGTTTCAAAAGCGTACGGCGAATTTTATTTTCGTCGATCTCGGATCTCCCGTCACGGAGGTACGTCAAAAAATACGTTCATCTAAAAATCTCGTGTTTAGTATTTAGGCATACTTCTTTATAAGCTTAATGATGATATTAAAACTTCATAACTTATGTTTTTTTATGGTCAACATGATGTTTTAGACTAATTTACTTTTTGACATATCTCTGAGTAAGATGCATACCGAAATTTTCGACGAAAATAAAAGTTACCGTATGAATTCAAAACATATACAGCTCAAATCAATTTTTCATGCTGAACATGGTTTCGATGTTGAGTATTTTATTTTGAGTACTATTGAACGATAAACAAATCGAACTACTATTGATTTTTAGTTAGAGTCGACTCTTTGATGGTAGTTTGTACCTCTTTTAAATGTCTTCGCTCATCGATATATTTGAAGTTTCATTTATAGATTTCGTAGCTAATGTAAAGAAGAAATCATCTGAAATTCCATAAAAAGACAAGTGAATCAAGTGATTTCAGATTTACTTAGTGTCTTTCTGCTTCCAAAATTCAATCCATTTTGTCGAGAGGATAAGTTTGCTTATTGCTGATGAAACTTGAATCAAACACAGTGTTAGTACCAAATATCATACTTGTAGATACACACAGGAATGCCTTTTCCATCACAATAAAACATGCTTATTTTTCTGATAGTTCATTTTCCTTTCCATGTATACAATTACTTCGTCTTATAGTTTGGCATCATATGTAGATGAATTTTTATTAATAACAAATTCTCGTACTAAAACGATATCATTTTGAACTTCTGTGACTCTATTCTCAAGTACAAATAAGTTGCTCGATTTCTTTATGAGATTCGAAGTTTGCACATTCAATTGATCATAAATTTAAGCAAAAGCGAAGCAAATTTTTATGCTAACAATTTATCTGTTGTTTTCTAGAACGATCTAATATATCATCCGACATCGAATTTATGTATGGCATTATCTGATGATAGGACACATATTCAAATGCAAGTATGCAATATCACATATGAAGCTCATAAATGGTTATGGGAACGACAATCACTTAATGAAACGAACAATACTTAAAGCAAAAATGATCATTTGATATATGCTAATACATCTTGTGATTTGTTTTAAGTATAATGGTGCAATAGTTGATATAGCAAATTTTCAATTTTCTTTAATAGTTTATTTTTCTGTTTTGTTATTTTTGAGAACAAGAATTTGTTCATTATTTCATTTTTTTTTCCAACAGTTGTTAATAAAAGAAGTTAAAGGAAAAGATAAATTGAATAGATCATACTTTTAAAAAATTTTATTTACATACAAATCTTTCTTCTTTGACAATCTTCGATAATAATAATTTGAAATGTTTCGATGTTAGTTTTAACTATTTTGTTTTTATTTACATTTTCATTTTCAATGCTATTTACAATATTTTGATTTATCTCAATCATTATGTGCTTAACTTTGATTTATATTCATCGGTCATCATCGTTTCTTTTTGTTCCTTTCTTCTCTGTACTATATTGATGTATTTGTATTCAATATTAGAAAATATTTTCCTTTGACTCAACTTATTTTGTCATAGAAATGGCGAACATGAAGAAGCTATTATTCGGATAAGCATTTCGTTGTCTCTGTTTGACTAGTACATATATCGTATTGAATTTATACCGATCAATGAAGTTGCAACCTTGTCGATCGGTGTAACTTCGATACAATATATATATAAATAGACACTCACGAATTACCTGAGCGTCATTATTCGATTGATAATCAAACAATGAGTAACAATCGAAGGCACACACACACACACATGGCAAAAAAATTTTCTCGTCAAAACATTAAACAAAAAAAAGAGTATCATCCTGAAATTCGCCATTGACTGACGATAAAGAGTTTAGTGTTACAAATAGAACTACCACTTTGTACATTGCTGCTTTCATTGAACATTTTAAATCAATAAGAAAAAAAAAGTCTGCATTGTGATTATTTGAAAGCGATTCTCATCTATGGTAATTATGTCATTCGATTACATGCATGTGCATTTTTCAACGCTCTGCATGAATGCTCTCGCTACGTACACAAGTCATAACCAATGTACAGTAAACATGTTTTTTGACTAGTCAAATATGAGAAATAATATCATTGAATGAAAGGCTTATTTCATGTAGATTTGAAAGGCGTCGATTTGTTTTTTTTTCTTCTTGTTATTTTAGATCGTTAAAATCAATTCAAGAAGTTTTTACTAATTTCAATATTTGACGAAATGACAAGTAAACCAGGCAAACCAACAGGCAAAATTGAATTGAGTCACAAGTTTCTCAATACTCTCAAGAAAAGGTCGCAGCTTAGCGAATCAGAAATTCAAGAAACATTCAGTTTGTATCTCGTAAAATAGTTCAAACTTGTTACATTGTTTCATTTTTGTAGAAGAATTTCGGGAGGCATCAACCAGTGGTCAACTTACAGAGGAAGAATTCATCAAACTATGGAACGAAGCAACACCCCAAACCGATGATTCTGATAGTGTGGAAGTAGGCAAGCGAGTCTTTGCTTTTTTCGATCGAGATCATTCCGGTAAGTTTTTTGTAATCATTTTTTCTGTAGATGATCGTATTTTTGTTTTTTCAGGAAAAGTCGACTTTAATGAATTTATACTGGCTTCTTGCTTGATGACACCTGGTGCACCGAGACAAAAACTTTCACTCATGTTTGCTCTATGTGATTTCAATCACGATGGTTTTCTTTCACGAGCTGAGATTGAAAACATTTTCGTTGCATCTAAAGCGACTGAAGAATCGATCGATGAGAAAGAATTCGAAGCATTCAAGACTCATTTAAGTACAATCTTTGAACAATATGACTTGAACAAAGATGGAAAAATCTCTCAAAAGGAATTCTGTAATCTATGTACTCATGATGAAGTTTTCAAAAAGATTGTAACCTGATTCATTTCAAAGTTGATATTTAAACTGAAATCTATTATTCCAAAAACAATTCAAATTCTTAATAGAACTATGATCGAACTTAAACATTTTATTCTTTGTCATGCATGATATAATAAATAGAAATAAATGAAAAATACTTACTCAACTATTTCATCTTGTTTTGTTTCTCTAATATCAATCCATTTGATTTTACATTACTTACAACGCAATATTCGACTTTCTGCCAATATTTTACAACTTTATGATAACTTTCGATAGAAACCAGATTTTGAAACAGCATTTTTTTGTCTTTCTCTAACAGAAAGAAAAATAAATAAAAGCAGATAATGTCGCTGCGAGACGAATAAGATTGAGGAGAGACCGACAGGTCGCCTATTGTGGAAAGGATCGGGTTACAGTGAGTGTCGTTCTTCTCCCCGCGATCACTACTTCTAGCACTCCAAGGATGAAAGGCCTTTCTGTGTGAATTTTCGGTATTTCTCCCAAAGTTTTAACCCCACTCCTCACAGTGTGCATATTTCGCATGACAGGAAGACCTGTAACTTTCTTGTTCGGAAATGAATTTCTTCGCTCAGAAATGATTGAACTTGACGCATAAAAGCATTTTTAAGAGAAAAAGCTTTTTCAACGAAAAATGCTTGAGAGGAACCTTGCCTTCATTTTTTCGAGAAAATTTTGTCTTCTTCAAAATTGTTTTGTCTTATATATCATTTGACGCAGTTTAATATGCTGATCCTGAATATATTATTTTTGTCGGTTGAATATTTTTCAAAGCCAGAAAAGCTAAAAAATCTAAGTTTTTTGAAAATCCACTGTGCAGTTCAGGAATGTTTGCGCTAACATAGGTTAGCAACAGTAGATAGAAGAACAGTCTGACAACATTTAGAGGTTGGATTGCTCATTTTACGGAACTAGACGTTCGGATGATATTGTAGAAAAAAATATTATTTCTTTTTCTCAGAAATTAAACATACAAATTAAAAAATATTTTATACTATTGTATAGAGCTCGACTTGAAGATTCAGAAAATATATTTGGTTTGTCTGTCGAATAGTTTCATTTTGTGAGATTTGAATTTTCCTGATGATATAATGATTTTCAGGCTAATTTTTGAGTTTCTTTAAGGATTGTAACGAAGTTATTGATATCATTTGATAGAGTATATTTCTGTATATCTAAATTTTGGAAAAGCATAATTTTCATTTTTAGTCAAATGTTTGTTTAGATGCACGCAGTGCCTCATCCTAGCCGATCTCTAAAAAACATCGACAACCTTGCATGAGAAAGAACAAAACCATCTCTCTTCTCATTCATGAAAAACTTTTATGCGTACGATGATAAAAAGACGGTCGTATGTCTGTCAAGACACAGTGGTAGTTCGAGAGTCGAGCATTATGACTAGGTTCAATCAATGTAAATGTCGCATGGAAAATCATGATTTTCTGTAAAAATCGCTTTCTTAAATGATTTAATTGCGACTTTAATCCTACGGAGAACTATGAAAGAATATATAAGGAAATAACGCTTCTTTTCTTTATAAAATAGCAATTGTTGAGATGCGTTCTCTTTTTAAATACGATACTATTTAGAGTTTTCGATACTGTATATATTTATGATAATGATAGTTAAAAAAAGGTTTTAATGGCCATTCTATCGTTATCTCGTATTCTATTTTGAAGAATAAAATAAAATAATGAGGATACAACTAAATTTTTCGTTTTTTAAGCATTTGATTAACAATAAAAGATAGTTTAATACTAATATAAACTCGACATATTATTGATGCAATTCTCTGGTAATGAAATACAAAAATTCTTTTTCGAGAGTTCCATAAATTAATATGTCGACCGATGTTTTCTATTGATAACTTGCGACCTCTTTTAATTATTCGGATTCATCTATAATTTAACTAATCGATTATTTATCACCTTTTAACTCGATCAAAACTCGAAAATCAGTAATTTTTAGTTTAATTTATTGTTATTTTCTGATTGAGAATATCATCATGTCGAACAGTGTTGGTTTATCAACGGTCTCGGGATTGTAAGAATTCTATTATTTATTCAGTTTCATTTATTTTTTTTTTCGTATTGTAGAGTCAAACAGACAGCTCTTCTTAATAATCGACAATATGTAACAGCTAAGCAAGGTTTAGAATTTGCTGAAACAGCTGTTAAAACAACTAGATCAACATATATATCTCAACAAAATAAGATTGATAATTCATTTTCTACTGGTATTCTATCAAAAGATGATTATGATAAACAAACAAATCGACTGAAACATCAAGTTGAAATTGATTGTGCTCCATGGGAAATTTATGTTAAAAAATTAACTCAACTTATTGAACAATACCCATCACAATCTGAAACACAACGAACTAATAAACGAACATTCAATCAATCTTCATCTTTGAAAAAACAACGTAAAAATTAAATTTTAATATTTATTCATTATAAAATTATTTTCATTTAGATTCTCATTCATCTGTATCTAAACGTAGTCGTTTAATTTTTTCATCTAGTAGTTCTGATTCAGATACACCCGAATCTATTCCTTCAACAACTCAAAAAAAATCTAATCCAATTATAATCAAACATGATTCAAGTACAAATACAAATCCATTAGAATTCTCACTTCGTTCACCTTTTTCTTCAACACCAAACATTATTCCGTTTACAGCCAAAACAAATAATATTACACAACGAATTCCTTTACAAGTAAATATAATTAAATTCAAATCATTAGGAATCACTTTCAAAATAACTGAGCTATTGTTTTTTCATTAAGAAGGTCTATTGAATAGCAAATATTAATTTTTAGTAAGATGAATCTTTTTCATGATGGTTTTAATCAATTCTTTTGAAAATTTCAATAGAAAGTTTTCATGCGACAATAAGTCTATTCTGAAATGTTTAAAATCACAGAACTAAATGAAGTCGACAAACAAAAACTTTTTGAACGCATATTTTCGCTGAATATATTTTTTACAAGAGAAAGATTATGCCTGAATCATACGTTCAATACATGTGAACCAACAGAGGGCGGGTTAGTCCTTGCGATTAGGGTTTACTATTGTATGGATGACTCTTAAATATCAGTTCAATAGTATAAAGAATACTAGCACTTCATGAAGGACGACTATATTTGTCTAAGATTATATATACGTTGTAGTAGAATTTAAAATTCTACTAGTAGAAATTGAAATTTCATTTTCTACTAGAAACTTGTGTTCTGGAAGTATTTTAATTTCTATTGTAGTAGTAATTAAAATACCTGTTTATATTGATGATAATATCTCGAAAGAAAAGAAACAAAAAAAAATGTGTATGTTTAATCTATACTTCTCGTGATGCTATCAAAGGAAAAAAGATATAATATAAAACGAAATGGAGCTATTTAATTCCAAACTTGATAAGTATATCGAATCTTTAAACGAAAAATTTCGTTTAAAATTTGTTATCAATGATAATTCAACACTAGATAGACATAAATAAATCCAAGATGAAGCTAAAGAAACGTATATGAAAACAATTGCTAAAAGACAAAGATTATATGATGATGCTTAAAAATTACGACAACACCAAATTGGAGATTTGACTGGCTGAAAAATTGATAAAGTCGATAGAACCAACACAACACCAAAAATTTTACTATGTAAAGTTATTTCAATACAAACAATCATCTGATAATATGAATATCTATCATCTTTGCACAACAAAATGTAATTTTTCAGAATTACGCATTATTAATTCTCAAACATTACCAACACAAATATCTTTTCAAGTTTGTAAAGATTACATTAGTAGCGAGATTAATTCAATTGCAGAAATCTGTGCTTGTAATGATTGTTGTGCTACAAAAAAAAATATTCATCCCAAGTGACTAAAGTACTGTGTGGTATCAAATGACATCCTACTAAAAAGAAATGTTGTTCAAATATATATATATATATAGATGTAAACTTTTTGATATATTCAATAGTTTCTTCTACTGCTTTCTATGCTACTTATAAATCATGTCTGTACTTCCTTAGATCATTATAAATATAAACGAGTATTTTAATTTCTACTACAGTAGAACTTAAGATACTTCCAGAACATAGGTTTCTAGTAAAATTTAAAATTCTCCTATAGTAGAGATTAAAATTTTAATTTCTACTGCAACGTATATATAGTATTTGACTTCTGCTATACAAGCATTTAATCCTATTAATTTAATGTTGTGCAACTTTACTATACGATTTTAAAAATCCAAATTAATAGAAAAACTTTTGACATCAATTATATTTTTTGTCTATATTGATAAATCTATGCTTATTTATTTAGCATATTAATGAAATAGCTGCAAAACAAATAGTTCTTCTTCATGATGAAGGACATTTAGTACGATGGAATGATGTTATTTGGCGTATTTTAATATATTTTCATGTTCAAGATCTTGGTAATATAGGTATACAACGTGCTGATCAAATTGCTTGTATTGATAATCTTATTCGAACACAAAATAAAATAAATATTTATCTTGATGCTTATGCTTATTGGCAAACAATAGGTACATTAAATGAATTAGAAAATGATTTAGCTCATATTTTTTATAAAAACGATTATAATGAATTATTACTTGGTCCTATAGAAAAACAACCAAAAATTGTTGAATTATTTCGATTAAGAAATATTCAAAATGAATATATAAAAAAAGATTTAAAAAGTTCTGATATATTAAAATATCTTGATCAATATATGACTAAAGAATCTGTTTGGAAAACAGAAAATGAAATAAATATTGAAAATTTTTTCAAATTTATTGCTAAACAAGTTCAGGTTAAAAATATTTATCAATTAGGTATTCGAATGAAAAGTGCATATTTAGCAAGAAATGTAAGATTAAAACATATAAATTAGTTTCATCAAAAGATTTTGTTTTTATTTATTAGTGTATTAAAAGTATGCAAGCAAATCAACGTAAAACAATGGAAATAGCTCGAACAGAATTAAGTTATATATTAACTGATCTTGTACAAAAAGAAATTGAAAAAATTTCAAAAACTATTAATGATAAATTAGATAATAATCAACAACAACAACAACAACAACGTCAAATTTATGCATCAATGGATCCAATTGATATAATTAATGATCTTATTGAAATTTGTCGTGAAGTTTGTCACAGTAGGTCAAGAAAATTTTCATTATTTTACATAGTAAAAAATTAAATATGACACTTTACGAGCATGCTTGTTCGATCTGAGTATCATTTCTATAGATTAAAATGTCTATAACTCTGTATAGAACGCTTAGATATCTTTAGGGTTTACCTTAATTGCAGAGTTCGAAATGAAAAAGCACTTTCAAGTCAAGAAGGTTTCCTGGCCAATCAGGGTACAAAAAAAAAATCTTACCCCACATATGTCAATTTGTCAATAAATTTAATATCTTAGATAAAATGAATATTTATTTAGATTATTCGTCATTTCGAAAAATCTCTCATGCACTTGATATTATTTCAAAAGATCCAATGTTAAGAAATATATTTCAAATAGCTGTTTGTCATGGTCATTTGGAAATACCTGATCAAACTATTCAATCAAAAGAATTACCAATTAAAACTCAATGTAATACAAACAAAAAAATATATTTTCATTCATCTGATTCATCCGATAATGATATTGAATTAGAAAGAAAATCATTGGAACCAATAATTAAACATCCAAATGATAATGAAATTTTTCAAGCATTTAAAGAACAAATTAGTTCATTAAAAATATTTACATTTACTTTATTATCTCGAATTGAACAACGTTTATGTGAAAAATTTAAAGTAACTTATTTTCAAGAATTAGGTCATGGTACTTTTAATAATTATATAGCACAAAATGAACAATTATTATTTTCTATTGATACTAAATTTAAATTTTCTTCATCAGAATATGATGATGATAATAATAATAATAATAATAATACAATATGTAAAATTTCAGTTGAAGATCTTGAACAATTTATTCTTCAAATACTTGATAGATCAATAATAGATCAGCAATATATTGAACAAATT